CTCTAGACGAGCAGCTTCATCGCGTGCAGAGTGAGCTGACAGCAGGCTGGTCTGCACAGGAAGGAAGGTATTAAACAATGATGATCACCTTTGTTCCTTTCATCACTGTCTCTATCAGAGGTATTGATATACATTGTCTTCATTAAGTGTGAACAGATTACGATACACCACTCCGCACTACTGCACATCACTGTTTCTGAAACTATCATGGATCTTGGACTTACAAGTAGATCATTAACAGTATCAAGCAATGCCAGGAGGGAGATACTCAAATGTAGTCAAACATAGATGTGTTTCTCTTCCTTTTATCTAATACATTTCCTGCCAAATGAATAACATTATTTTTATTACATGCAAAATGATAATTTAAAAACAGTATCGTGTTTTATCAATATTTAGGCTAAAAATGTGTTTGACGTCAATAAAGATAACGTTTTCTTCATCCAACTCTAACTGTAAGTCAATGGGAACTGGTTACCTCTGGAATGGCGGCAGGGTCGGTGATGGTTGCCATGACCTCATTGATGAGCTCCACGGGGATGTCACCCACTACTCTAGGTCTCTTGCTTTCCTCATGGGGGAGAGGCTCAGTGGGTTTACGCTTTTCTCCAACTGTGATAATGCATGGACACAGAGGAAGGTATAGCTATCTAAGACTTTTATATTTGCAATCTATATTTTGGCACTCTTCACACTTTGTTTTGCAACTGCTGCACAGAAATTTCTTCAGGATGAATTTAGTTTTATCTTAGTTTATCTTCCTCATTAAATGTCTCTTTTAAAACATCTCAGTAGTCTAGTACTGTATCTCAATACAAACAAGAAGTCACCCAGCATTTAAGGTTAGCTTACTATGGGCTCATCTCCAATAGGCCCTTTTCACAGCAGCCATTTTGACATGTCATTGCGGGGTAAACAGTTGTAATCGCTAAAGTTATTTATTTTCCCATTCTTCCTTGCTTTCAGTATGTTAGGCGCATTTCTGGGGTGTTTTTCACTTCTGTTTCTTGGTACACCTTTAAGGCCAAGATTCAAATAAGTATTTAAGGAAATGCGTTAGTTTAAACTTTGGGACATTCCATTATAAAAATAAGATTTCTTTGAATCAATAGATAGAATTAAAATAGTCGGATGGGGACGATGAATCTTTGTTAGCTAAGAAGGTTCAGGTGCAAATGCCACAATAACACATAAACAAATGTAAAACACAAAGCTAACTCTTCCCTAGTGCTCACTGTTTACTATGAGATGCTATGTAATGACATGGAATCACTGTAACCGTATGAGTAATTACAGGTTTGACTGTCATACCTGGGTTTGGCTCCAGTGCAGAAGCTGTTTTCCTGGCAGGACTCACACTGCCGCAGGTGGATGGGTCCACTGACACAGGGCTGGTGCTGTAGTACAGTGGCCTGGCCACAGGGGGCGCGCTGATAACTACAGAGCAACAGAGACACTTTTTTATTATCATTTTCTCAAGTGACAGTTCTTCGAGTGTCTAAAGTTAGCTTGAAGAGTGTGTCTGCGAGGGTGTCTGTTACCTGTGTGGATAGCTATCTGCCCTCCTGAAGCTCCTGCCAAGAAGTCTTGGCTCCAGATCGGAGAACTATGGCTGTACACCTCCTCCTCCAGCATGGACAGGAACCTGAGCCAAAGAAAAGAAAACAACCACAATTTAACTGTTTCAAAGATGGTTGTCAAGCATGCATAGTGCTCACTGTGTAGTTTGATACTGAGGATGGCCATGCATGTGTAGTGCATGAGCAAGCGGCTCTATATTCTAGTCTTAATGGATAATTAAGGTTGTGGTGTATCCCTTTGTATTTAATCTCAGAGTTTCTTTTTCTTACTTGGGAAAGTGTGTGAGGATGAGTGTGCGTTTTTCAGGCGGCAACTTGTCCTTTTCCTGTCTTGCCTGCTCCAGCAGTTGTTTTCTCATCACAGTGAACACTGAACGCAACAGCGTCCGTCCGAAGATCTGAGTGGTCTCGTACCGGGGTAGACTGTCGCAGAACTGAGGCACATTGCAGTAGCAGAGCCATCTATAACGAGCACACCAGATAAATAACTATGACTGTAAACAGGTGTGATGCATGTTAACAGGATATCTGGCAGGACATCTGGTTAGTGCTGCTACCTGGTGTAGTTGGCTTTGTATCCAGCTGCATCATCATTAAGAACCCTCTGTCGTCTCTGAGAGGGCGTTTCAAGCTGCCAGTAGTTGATTTGGTTGAGAAACATCTTTGCCAGTTCCATTATGGTTTGACGTTCCTTCGAGGGCAGGTGGCTGAATTTGTACTGGACAAAATTGTTCACCCCCTTTTTGAAACAAAAATATAAATACAAGGGAAAGCAGACACGATGAAACAATTTGTGTTGAGTAGTGTTGTTGTTTTTTATTGCCGTTGATGCTCATGGTAGACATGTGATTACCTGCTCGATGCCGGGTTTTTCAAATGGAGGACTCTCCTGTGCTTCCAACATCGGTTTACCCATCTGTAGGATGGATTTCCTCAACAGCTGAACAATATGCAGAAAAAGGGAGAGAAGAAATTTTCATTTGCACACAATTGTAAAATCCTGTGTTTGTATATTTTGATTGTAGAACACGAGGCTTACTTTGAAGAGGGAAAAGTAGACCTGTTTAGTGTCAGCATCCTCCTCTTTGTGAACACATGTGTAGAGATACTCCACATCCAGGACAATACCTAAAAGTCTGTTCATTTCCTCCTCAGAAACATTTTCTAGATGGGTCACATGATCACCTAGGGGGGACAGAATACATTTTAAAATGGTATATCCCATACTCAGTTTGGTATTATTATCAGCTGTAGCTTCTTTCCTAGACTTGCTGACATACCCAAGGTGTGAGAGCAGCTCCGGCAAGGCTCCTGCAGGTTGACTGTGCTGGACTGCTGGTCAGTCCGTGGGGGTGTAGGAGGGGGGTTTTGACTTTTCCAGCCGTTACACTTACAGGCTCCCTCAGCCTAGGAAAAACACAGTGTAAATGAGTACAGGCAGGAATACAGATGAGGGTAGACCCACTTCAAATGAACCACCTTTTTGATCTGTGAAACATACGATTCATATTCTATAGTGAGTGAATATAAAAAAAACGCTGAAGTTGTATTGATATTGGAAGAAAAAAAAGCATAGATTAATTGTTTTTCGAAATTGAAATTATTTGTTGTTTGTAAAGTTGGCTATGGTGCTTTGTGACTGTCAGGTGGAGTTGCTGTTATCAGTCACTTGCATACTTTATCTGATTTTTAACCAGTGCCATTAAAGTAAACAGTAGGCTATATATCAGGCACTAAACATACAGTAAATGGGCCTTAGCAGCGTTAATACATTTTAAAACTTGACAAATCCGCTCAGAAAAATAGATTTGTTTCGACCAACTATGTACAATATCAGGAGGTGGGGTGAGAAGGCCTGTCAGCGGCAGCCGGAGTTGCCACACTGCGCATGCGCCTGAAACAACAACAAACTCCGCCCCTCCAGCAGCTGTCACCCTGTCAAAACAAAGACCCCGTCCCTCTCTGCAGATGATATACTGCATAAAAACAATAAAAAATCCTCTCTGTTTAACACTGTCGTTGACAGTCGGCACGGGGGCACTGTATCAGTCCAGTGGGAAGCCTGAGACCGCGCACACACACACACACACACACACTGGGATGCAGCCCTTGTGCACACAGCCTGCTACTCCCAAGTACGAGCGCCAAGCCAATGTTTACGTTCACCGACCCCCCACCTAGACAGAAACATAGTAACGTTGTACATACAGTGGACAACTTACAGCCGGAAGACCCCTACATTACAGTCCTGCAACAATAACGCTTGCATCGACTGGATTATTAATATCGCTCTTACAATAATTGGTTCGTGCATGCAAAATGAAAAAAAAAAAAAAATGAAGTGCGGCAATGGCTTCCTTTGCTGCGCTTGCATTTTGTAAACTATTGCAACCAAACCCGTGAAATACGATTGATTGTGAATAAACAAACCGCTGTGTTTTAAAGACAGCCAGCTGCAAAAAAAACAGCATACTTTGCAGGATGAATACACTCCGAGTTTTTCCAGTTTCTTTGGCCGAGGTGAAGAGCGGAGTTGCGCCTTCTTCACGGCGATACGTGCGGATCCTCCAGCGGCGCCGGAGCCTTCCGTCCCCCCGGCTCCAGGAGCGGCCGGAACCAGGCCCGCTGCCCCGATGGCCGGCGAACCTTGCTGAATCCCAGCGCTGTCGGCCATGATTCACACGGAACCCCGACAGGACCCCCGGCCCGGGAAATATTCGTTCTGCCGTCAGTTCTATTCCACAAGCGGAGGATCAGACATGGCGCTCATCCTTATTTTCAATTTCTCACTGTAGGCCCATTTTCCTCCGCTAGGGGACTCAACCGGGATAGGCCAAATCCACTACAACTCGGAGAGGAGAGGTCACAAAATGCAACCGTTCGTAGCAAAATTTCAAGGTCAAATGTAGTAGAAGAAATGTGTATTGTCACGCGGATCCATGTCTGAGCACACAGTGTCTGGTGAATAGTGGTAATTTCATGCAACATGAATACAAATACCTAGTCATTTATAGAATAGTATTACAATTATCATTAAAAATACAAAATTGTTGTAACAATTCGTTAAAAGCCCTGAATGAAATAAATCATGGGATCTAATCAGATTCTGACAATTATTGCAGAAAGATGGTTAAAGGTCAGAGATGTCTAAAGAATAAAAAAGTGTTTCTCAATTCCATGTCAAGTTGAGAGGCGTTGAGGAGAAATAAACAGTAAGTCATGACCTATAATAACCAAACATGAAGAAGAAAACATATCTCAGCATCATACACACAGCAAGATTACAATAATAAATGATCACATTTATTTCAGTGTTTATTTGGTCATTACATACCAGAACTGTCAAATGCTTGCATTTAAATGTTTCTGGCTGCAATTAAGTGTTCACGGCAAAAAGAAAACATACAATTTGCATCCTTATAATTTGTTAATTAATTTATTCATGAATCACCATCGTGCCAGCTGATAGTTGTTACACTGTTCCTACAATATCGTCACGCGGTTACTGAATTGTTATGAAGGGGCAGACAGTTGGTTAATCAATCCGTATTGTATTTGTGTCCGACTCCTCGAGAGCTTTTACAACAAGTGTTTCTGGATGGTCGGGTCTAATAACAGGGAAGAGTGCTGGACAAGTCTTATACAACAACAAAATAATTAGTGAAATGCAAGAAAGAGATAATGTTAAAAAAATAGAAACCAAAATGTTTGGATATTATTTTTTTTTCTTTTGAGAAAAAGATACAAGACAGACGACTAAATAAATGCAATTTCATTTTTTTGTTAATAACACTACATACATTTATAAGACCACCACTAATTATGATTTAACCATTTGTGTGAAAAAAGGAACAGCAACAAAACTCCAAACCCAGATTGTAGCTGTTTTTTTCTGCTAACTGTACAGTATTTTTTAATGATTATCTAGACAACTCCCTAGCAAGCATTAGTCCTGTCACTGGTAAATCGAAAAAAGGTAGACTACACTGCAACACCCTATTTACAGTATATTATTTATATATTTATATTTATATATATATTTATATCACACTGGCTGTAATTATGACAAGATATATTCATGAGCATCATTAGTGCAAGGCATGAGTAAGACCTGTAAAAAGAGTTATTGATCACATATATGTATGCATGTGTGTGTGTGTTTGTGCATGTGTCGCTATGTGTAACATTATAGTGAGGGATCGGGACAGGAAAAAAAGTGTGCTCTCAACATAAGTGAGGGAGAGTTGGAACAGACTCTGTGCGTGTGTGCGCGCTTATGTACAATTATGTTTAGGTCTGAGTTGAGACCGAAGAAGTCAATGTAATGTGTGTGTTCATGTGCAAATGTGTGTTCAAACACACACACACACACATAAATGGGCACGTGTGTGTGTGTGTTTGTGTGAGTCTATGGGTGAAATCTGTCATCAGCCAGCCAGCCCAGGCCCAGTTTGTATACACACACGACACACAACTGTGTCTAAAGCACTCCCTAAACAAGAGAAGATGGCAAACAATTATGATTCAAAGGTGATTATGAAGCAGCCTTACATATTGCAACTCCCAACTCACTACCATCACCGTCGCTTTTTACCAGGTGCAAACCCAGCAGCGGTCCAGCAATATTAACACGATGGGAAAGGTAATCTGCATACACTAAATCATCCAAAGACAGAAACCAAGAGACCCCGGTAGAACCACAGGGACGGGTCTACACAAGATGTATGAAGGGACACTGCATCAGAAGATGGTGACACTGATGTGTCCCTCAGAGGAACATGTGCTTTGTTGTGGAGAAAGCTGGGTGTAACAGGGGTTTTTGCTGCGCTGCATTGGTCCTTGCAGACACTCAAGTCACAGAGTAAATACTGTGAAACATTGCACAATGCCAATCGGGACAGCTAGAAGCAGGCATGGCTCAGAATAGAGCCTTAGATAATGTTCACTCGTGCTACTTAGGTTTTAGTGGGGGAAAGGACATGGACAGGCGGCAGAATCTAAAAGGACTACGGTCTACAAATGTTTTCTAACTTTAAGATAAAAGGGTCCAAGTGACAGAGAGGTGTGGAGCTTAGGGTTTGTGTGTCTCTCTCTCTCTCTCTCTGCCTTTCCATCTTTATTAGATTCACAAGAATACACCACCTCTTCTCTAATAGACCAATTTCTGTGCTACTGCAGACAAACGGGTTTTAGTTTTTCTATTTTAGGCCATGTAAGTATATAGGTTTGTGCTACCATAGCGAACAATAAGTAACAAAATAATAAAAAACAACAACAGAAGACTGGTATTAGAAATGCAGTAGTAAAGTCTTAAAGTATCGCAAAAACAGGGAAGTAACCACTTCCTCTAAATGAAACTCATATCTACAAGTGAAGAAGGTTGACAATGGAAGGCAAGGAACACTAATGTCTCTAGTATCTGCTGTCATTAATCGATCAATAAGAATTGATAGATGTAACAAGCTGGATAGCAGAAAGCAGGAAAGAATTGTTAAGGGGCTTAACCAGGTAGCAGCAGAACCATGATGGCGGGAAAGTGGCAAAGCCATGTGGAGAAATCAGTGTAATACCATTGACTTGAAGAGGGTGGGGGGGCACAGCTCATCGTTTCGCAGATCAGAGAATTGGAGATAAGAGTACAACACATTGCATTAATGCGGTGGCATTCAGGGCATCTGCCGCATTAGTTACTGCTCTACAGGTTGGTTGGAAGGAAGGCGTTCTTCACGTTAGTTACTGCAGCACGGAGCCTTGGCTGGCTGGGCAGCTTCTGTCAGGTCCACTCCCCGGTTCCGCCCGCTATTGGGTCCTGGAGGCTGTGGCTCACTCTTCGGCAATCTCTTTGCTGTAGGGGAAAAAAAAAAAAAAATTAACAACAATAAAAGAAACTTTAACTTTGCAGGGTGCATAAATTAAAAATGGAATAACTTAATGTAAATCATGTCAAATAACAGTGGGATTCATTAATACCTGCCTATCTACGTATATACAGTGATGCAAACACATGGTAGAAAAAGAAAAAAGGGGGAGGAGAGCAACCCAGAGTAGAAAAAAAGGCAGCGTAATATCATAAAAACATGTGATGAAGGCCTGTGCTGTATGTCTAAATAAATAGGCAATTCTATTTAATATACGCAGATGAATTACTGTCAGACAGATGTTAAGGAGCAAATTTCATTATATATTTTCAGAAAGAGAAAAAAAAAACATAACTAGGCTTCTTGTGTGTTTTAGCCCACACAGTCTGTAAATAGCTATTCATATTCATACATTTATATTTCTGACTGATTAGAACTTTTGACCGTATTTATTGTTATGTAATTACAGTTTCACTGAAAGGTTTATCAAGACAAGCAACAATGATGATAAACTGTTTTACTAGACACTTAAATGCACTCTTATTCAACGAAATACACCAAGATAATTTAAGGAAGAATATGTTTTAATCCCATGTGTTATCGAGCCTATGTATTGTTTTTTAATTAAATTGTTTATAAAATAAACGCTTACTGCGAGATCGTCATGTTGCTGCCACCGGTGTTTTCCAAAGTAGCCCGTATAATGAGGACGTCCCCTGGCTATGCAGGGGACGTCGCAAATTGACGAGAAAAAAGGCGTTAGTCGCCGTAACGCGGGTTGTTTGTATCACTATACATCTATATATCTGTACCACTCTGGAAAAGTACTGTCAAAATCTATGAATAAAGTGTCAATAATTACCCACCAATAGCCATAAATATCTCATTCACGTTCATAGATGTCTTGGCCGATGTCTCCATGAAAAGTAAGCTGTTGTCATCTGCGTAGGACTGGGCATCCTGTCAACACAACGTCAACACCAGGAGTTTTCAATATGACATGCATTCAGTGACAACAAACAAGAATTAGATGGTGGTATAGAGACTGCAAGTCCTGGTAGGGAAGACTAATGCAACTAATCACTTGTTGCATACGTTCTGGATGTAATAACATTAAACCAAACAAAGACAAAACCAAGATATCCATGAGGAGAAGTAGTAGATCAGTATTCACAAGAAATGCAAGAACTAAGACCGAGTGTTAAGACAGCTGTTTGTTTGCTCTGACCTGGAAGTCAACAGCTCTCTTGCTGGCTAGGTCAGCCTTGTTGCCTGACAGAGCGATGACAATGTTCGGGCTAGCTTGTCTTTGCAGCTCCTTCACCCAGTTCTTTGCCCGCGCAAAAGACTCCTACAAATAGAAGAACAGTGCAATCTGTCAATACCTTCATGTGATCAGTAACTTCAAAAAGAGATTTCCTTTCAAAATCTGACATTTCCATATCGGCCACCAGCTGGATTTGAACTACAGCTTGTTGTTCTGAAGTAATTACTCACTCCATCTTGAGGGCATGATTATGGTAAGTATCATCTGTACAACTGTAATAGTGAAAGTAAGACGTAAGAAGTTCGTCAGGGGCGAATAAACGTGCCTCGTTTGTGATGTCGTAGACCACGATGGCCGCCTGTGCTCCTCTGTAATACATGGGCGCCAAACTGTGGTAACGCTCCTGACCTGCAGTGTCCCAGATCTCAAACTTCACTGTTGTGTCATCTAAACACACCGTCTGGGTGAGAAAGGCAGCTGAAAAGACAGAATAAGGTGAGGAGGGAGTGAGTATTAGATAATGAATATTTACACACAATATGTTTTATAATGCTGTGTAAACATTACAGGTCATGAATATATGAAAACAAAGCATTGTCCGTTTTCCCATTATGCGAAATAAACACATCAAATATAATATAACAAAAATTCAGCTGAAGTGAAAAAGATGACTTTTGTCCCTCAATTCAGGGGCTACTTTACGAATGTGGTCATAATCCTGACTATAAAATAAAATGGTTTACTTCTACAAATTCTTTGTGACAATCGTGACAATAGCAAAGCACCCAATTGGCTCTAAGGAAGTGCACCTGTCATAAATATCACATAATTGCATCACAACCAACTGGCAGCCCATGAGCAATAGCCTGGTTTGTTGATATGAAACTCACCTCCTATCGTGCTCTCCTGGAATTCATGGAACTGACCCTTGACGAAGCGGAGCACTAAGCTGGACTTCCCAACAGCTGACTCCCCCAAGAGCACCAGCTTAAACTGACAGATCTTGTTCCCCGCATTGGGTCCATTGGGTCTCGTAGCTCCTCCCCGATTGGCCATGACCTAGTCAGATCCCCCGGTGTCCTGTGTGCCAAACCTCACTATCAGGACTTCTGCTGCAAGAAAGCAAGAGAAGAAAGAGTTTATGGACGATGGACGAGTAATGAAGATATGTTGAACGCATTACTCCGTGCAAAAAGACAAAATAATCAAAACCTACTGAGAGTTATTATTTTGTGCGAGCAGTTAGTGGTGGTTTCAAGAAATACGGTAATATTCAGCGTGAATTAGAGATATTGGCTTGATCTGCCAAAGGGTGACATGTATAAAATGCATTCAAAACGTTAACACTGGGAGAAAGTAGCGAGACCAATCTACATGGCGTAAGTGAACAAGGTGCAGACTATGTTACTCAAACTGTGCAGTATACAAGTCTAAGCCGTGGCCTTTTCACTGGCTTGCCTTACTCAACATGTGATATTGAGCATTTCTAGAATTCTGAAGAACATTGGGAGAACAGAATCCAAACATTAAGATGTTTAGATGCAGTTCAACAAGACTATAGAATAATAAATCGGTGTACTTTGCCAAATAAGGGGAGTGACAATTTGTGGTCTATTTAGAATAAGATCATGCAATAAATAATAAATAATAAAGAAATACATAAAAACAAAATTGAAAAAAATATATAAAATAATACAAACTAGAGCTAGACTAATAACAGGGTATTAGTAGTACTGCACATACTTAATATGGAGGCTCTACTTTAAGCACCTTACTACAATGGATCAGTTTAGTGATTATTGGTCAAGTCCTTAATTCATATTTTTGGGATATATCTATGTATTGGAGTAACAGCAGCATAGTTTGAGACGCTCTCTTTTCTATTATTAATACATTTGGATAGTCTCAAGCCCCACCTGTCAAACTGTCAATAACAACCATGTGAACTGAAAACAGAGCCAATTTAGTGAAAGTGATGCATTTCACACCCCTACTTTCAAATTACAAATTGAAGCTTTAGCCCTGTAGTATCACACTTTTTAACATCTTGCATTTTACAAGTTTTTGCATAAGTTTCATATATTTCATATATACAGAGCTGGCTTCTGCAGAACTTCCACAACAACACTGCAGTTTTTGTAGCATCCTTTTAGTCATGTTTTTTCACTGCAAAAGGAGAAAATGTCGCAAATTTCACGACTGAAAGCAAAAAAAACTTTACATTAAAATTATGCATCGATTGAATTCAAATATTATCAAAATGTGTTCACAATGTATGCTATAATTCCTTGCTTTTTGTCTTTCAGTTATAAAAAAGTAAATAAAATTTGTGAAATGATGTTTAAAAGTCATTTCAATACAGCCAATTACCTCTATGGTTAAAGCACCTCAAACATGCATTTAAATATAACTGTCATTGTTGACATTCAGTTACAAACAAGTAAGTGTTCCTTGACTTTACATACGACATTATCAAAGAGGAAGCGCCACCAAAACCAAAAACAATTCCATAAATCAAAGGAGACCTTGTAAAGAATCCCAGAGTTTCACTCACCCACATCACTTGGAAGAAGGTCTGTATGGATACATGCCACACATTCATGCATTGCTTAGTAACTTACTTAGGATCGAACTGCTGACTAATTTGTTCAACAGATGGCTGTTGTCAAGAGGTAAATGTGTTGTCCGATTTGCCAAAAAGTTTCCCGAACATGATCTGTTGAATATTATCCCTGATCATTCACCGTGTTCACCCTCCCACCAATTCCTTATCCAGGAGATAGATAATATGCGTACTAACAAAAACACAGATACCTTATCATACTCACATATGCAATACAGTACAATGGCTATGCAAAAAAAAAAAAAAAAGCATAGTAGCTAATTGTTATATTGTTCTCTGTGGGGTGTTCATGGCCTCAATAGTCAGACATTATTTTTATGTTGCAATACCAAAGGATCTGCTGATTTATTTACAACATATGGAGGGATTTTGCTCAAAAACACCTGTCAAAGCATTGTATTAAAATACCCCAAAAAATCAGGAATGGAGGAATAACAATTTCCTCTTGAATAAACCAGACCCGAGAGATCGTTTCCGAGGTACTTAGGTCCGACATTTATCCTTTAACCAAGAATATTTTACAATAATTATTTTAAACGCAGACAAGCAAGAAGAAAACAACAATGCATTATGAACTGCTGCGTAAAAACACTGTCAACAAACGCTGCGCACTGCAATGCTCACTAAATATGTGACTGACGTTAGTTGACTGTAAACACACTTTACTCCTGTTGGCTGTAGCCAGCCATCTGTTTGATCTCAGACGGGATGGCAGTTTTCAAATTGTTTTGTTGTCTAGCTAGTTGGTTTAGCGTACTTGCTGTTAGCCAATCATAGCTTTTTAACTGGACAATAACATTGGCGTTAGCCTCCCAACCGCTCAGCTAACAACGACGCATAAAACAAATACGGTGGGTTAACAAGATAGTCGTTGTATGGCTAGAAAACGTTATCAAAATGAAATGTTGTGCTGGTTTGCTTAAGTTATTTAATGGGGAGTAGACAACCCTCAAATAATAAGCACCAACATTAGCTTGCTAGCACTATTAGCATTCCACCCACTGATGATTCCAACCATTTAGTGTTAGCTGTTAGCCGTCACACAGTCAACTGTTGGCAACCCCCAGACTTCACTAGCACCTTGCTAACGGCACCACGGCAACACAAAGAGGAACAGTTGTACTCGGCAAGACGTGACAAAGGCCTGCATTTCTGCATTCCCTTAGCTATCAAACATCTCCGACATTAGCTGGAGGCAGCTAGCCACAGAGCTAGCCAACGTTAGTGCCCGATGAGCGTTAGCTCGTCAGCTGGACACCACAACTCGTAGATTCATGTCAAGTACACTACCTGAGAGCCGACGATGTTTGGGACTTTAGATACCACTGCTGTAGTATTTACACAAGGAGCCCGGGACACTGTGGTGGGGTGGTGTTGGGAAACCAAGAAAATAATTTCAACAACCCCGTCACGTCTCCTCCTTTCTTTCTTTCTTCTCGCAACTTCCCCTTAGAACCAAAACACAAACAAGTTCTTCCGCCCCCCTCGTGCCACGTCACACAGCACGCCTGCGCTCCAGAAATGACTTTCTGATGATGATAACAATAACTGCACCTTTGTTTTTTTTAATATGTATTGCACAATTATATATATTGATAATATTGCATTGTTAAACAGTCACATTTGATATTGGTATTTGATATAAATATGCCTTTATGTCGTTTATAAAAAGGAACAAAACTGAGGTGGGATACAAAGAACACTGTGATGTGTCCATAAATACAGATCAATATGTATGTCTAGATAAGGCAGGTTTTGTTATTAATAATAAACAAGCTACTGATGTTTAAAGCTGTAGTTCACAACCATCTTTGCTTGTGACCCATTCTTTTTTGACCCCCATCACACAAAGTTGCGAACAGATCAATGATTTTACCTTATTAAACTATTTAATTTTCATAAAGTATAGTATCATACATGCAATATTAGAGTTACAGTATATATGGTACTATCATGCATTGTATCTATATGCATATATATATGCGTGAATGTATGTATATATGTATGTATACACAAGTACATTGGAGGTAAGAGTGATGTGATGTTTGAGCAAGACACAGCGAAAAGTGGAAGTGAAACAAGCCTTTTGTGACGTATTCTAAAAAAATGTAGATTACATGAACACCCATCTAGAATCATTATCTAGAAACACATGTGATCAATATATAAGCTCTTGCCTGAAATCTATCACATGGGGTGAATACATATGTATGCAAATGGTAAGTATTTGAATGAAGGTCTGCAGCATTTCACAGCTGACGGGAGAGAGCTGTAGTACAGTGACACAGCCAATAGGTGGCGGTATAGCAAAATTAATCTCAGAGTTTAACTAGGCGAAGAAAGCTCCGCCCTGATTCTTCTTCTCTTCCGGTTAAGGCCGTATCAGCACGTTTTATTTATTGTGGAATATATATATATTTATACCTCGTTAGTGTTGTGGCCTATTTTATGACCGGGACATAATAACACGTTGTTTATCTAACGGTCAGTTTCATATAGCTCGCAAAGACTGAACAAACTGAGCAGCGGCCAGTCATGGAGGAGCTAGTGGAGACACCAGAGGAGCAGCTGGCAAAGCAGCACCGCAAGGAAAAGAAAGATATGCAAGGTAGCTAACCTCTACTGTTTTCACGTTCACTGGCAGCTTGTTTGCATCTCATGTGCTGTTTTATTTCTTGGTATTTAGCACGATCCAGCCACCAGCAAGCCAAGTAGTAGTTTGGAAAATGTCATTTCACAAAGCAAACCTACTAGGACAGTGTTGTCATTCTGAGGTGTTTGCCAGTCCCTTTTTTTTTTTTTTTTTTTTTTTTTTTTTTTTGCAAGTAGCTCACAATGGTTGTAGTTTTAGGGGTACAATTCACATTGAATGAAAAGAAAAGAGCTGATGCACACAGATCTATGGGCTCTTTGTGTCATGCTATGTAGGTTACATTATTTTAATTCATGGAAGGAGGTGCAGCAGCAGATGCTTTTTTATTTTTGTATTTCTTGTAACCAATAAGCTAATATTTAGGTACATCAATACCATCTGTGAGTGTATTCTTCTTCTTGTTGATCATCCTGGCAATCTAATTTATTTTTAACTTTTCTAATGATCAGCCAGCCCCATATGAGAGCTCTATTCTGTATTTAGCATCGAGGCGTTATTTAAGTATTGTTTTGTCATGACTGCACTTGTGCTTCATTTTCAGCTAATATCCAGAGCATGAAAAATGCAATCCCCAAAAATGACAAGAAAAGGAGGAAACAGTTGACAGAGGAGATTGCAAAAATTGAGGCTGACCTCAGCCAGAAACATGAGGAAGAATTGATGCAACTCCAATCGACAACCAACACGGAGGTTACTATTCAAATCTCTTGGCTATGCAATAAGAAACATGGCTGCCTTAAAAAGATGTACCCTTTTGAATGCAGTCCCTATATAAATGATTGCACAACAAGTATTTACAAAACACATGTATTGTTCTAAACTAGATACATGTATGTATTGGAAGTGCACATAGTTGCATTCGATCAGTTGGGAGGTACATTGTCAAATAAACAAATGAGCATACAGAGTATGCACAGAATGTTTTGTTTTGTTTGTATCTGATTATGCGAACATAAAGTCTGTTTATTAGACAAATGTCAATGTGCAACATAACCAAAGCTCTCATCACTCCATGTTAAAAGGTGGAAGAGGTGTTAAATGGAGTGGAGACCATGAAGGTGGACGATGGAGAAGAAGAGGAGGGGAAACAATCACGTGTAACCAAGGCCCAGAAAAGAAGGGTGAGATACAGGCTACATCCACACTACTCCGTTTCCATTTGGAAACATATATGTTTTGCTGTCGTATTTTTTTTTTTTTAACTAAGCAACTTCCTGTTTACATCGACACCCACGCGCATGCCCATTGTACATGAAGAATCACGTGATATTTAAGTACTAATTAAAGCTGCGAGCAGCGATGAACGGGCCCTCGCAATCTGCAGCGCGTCGGGGGTGCCGGTGGGACTCCGGCCTGCGCGGTCGAGAACGTCCGCGACCGTCTGACGGCGCGTCCGCGAGTGAGACGGATTTAATCCCGCGTGGACCGCCTGATGCTGGAAATGATGCTTTGCAAATAGTCCGATGCTTCCTGTATCCGCTGCCTGGCGCTACAGAACACGTGCAAACATGCATCATGTAGCTCTGTGTAAAATGTAAACCACATTGTGTAAAAGTCATGTAAATCGGAGGTGTTTATCACAAAATCCAGATTTCCTTTCGCCAGCAGGTGGTGCTGTGAGTATAAGTGAAAATGAGCTTGTATACATCCTCAGGCCATGAGTGTTATCAAGCATGTGAAGTTTGGGACTGTTTGGAACAAGTCCAGCTGAGTTACATCATCTTTTTTCATGGGGAATCACGTAAAGTAGCCGCCCGCTACGGCTAAACGATTCTGTCAAACGTAAAGCTTTTGATAACTTTTAATCACAACGCTCTTGACATGGTACTGACAAAATTTTAAGTGGATCTGATGAAGTCCCTAGGAGGAGTTCGTTAAAGTATAGCGACTAGAAATAGGCCAAAATCTATTTAAAAATGACACATAAATGAAACTGGACGACTTCCGGTAGGGTTTAGAGCATGGTCCCAAGAGACTTATATTTAAATCTCCACAGGATACATCTGCCTACCACGTTTCAAACATGTAGCTCAAACGTAGCGCTGGGGCTGCTGTTTTGAAATATTGTAGGGGGCGCTATAGAGGCAATTCAAAACGGACAAGCCTAAAACCCATATACACTATGTCTTCCTATGACCTATGACACATGTACAAAGTTCCATGAGTTTTTGAGCATCCCAAGTCACTAAACCATCAGCTTCCTTTTTCATGGCGAACGATGGGTCGCCACGGCAACAGCCTTCAACGAAAACGCACAATATTCATGATGATGCATCATCAATGTCTTAAGGCTATCCTTACCAAATTTGAGACTCATCAAGTCAACTGGCTAGGAGGAATACATAAAAGTATAAAATATGACATTTCCTTTAGCCAGTAGGCGGCGCTATGAGTTATTGAATTTTTTTCAATTGAAGTATCTTCAGACTTGAAGTAGCATCATGCATAAGAAGTTTTGTGTGGATTAGATAATGTACCTTGGAGTTATAACAACTTATAAGAACTTATTTTTTCAAAAACAATGAGGCAAAATGGCCGCCACGTCAAGGTTCTTCGATAAACTCTCGATTTTGATAACTTTTAATCACAAAGGTCTTAAGAGCATCCTGACCAAAGGAGAAGTTGATCGCATAAATTCTCTAGGAGGAGTTCGTTAAAGTATGAAGGCTGAAATCTGCAAAAAGTGACAAAAAGCACAACTTCGATGGTTTACTGTAGCGCCCCCTAGTTGTTGAATGCAAAATAAATCTCAGGATATGTTAGAGGATGCAATGTGCACATATGCTGAAAATCTGGTAATTTTAGGACAAACGGTTTAGAAGTTATATGTATTGATATTAAGCCACGCCCCTAAGAAGTTTATTGGTCCATATCTTGTAAACGCTAAGAGATATCAAAACGTTTTTGATAACGTTTGATGATCTAAATCCAATAATGGTCCACAACAAATTAAGTAGTAATCAGACCCAGCATGTAGGAGGAGTTTGCAAAAATGTGTTTTACACTAAATTCAATATGGCGGAAAATCTAAGTAGGCGGAGCTTATGGGTCTGAGAGGCGTTTTTGTATATCTAGCGGAATAGGACATTTGTGTTAAATTTCAAGTCAATCGGAGATACTGGCCGAGGGGCGTCGCCGGTCCGACTTGTAGGGGGCGCTAGAGAGCCATTTTTTTACACAGAAAGATGCATCCTTTTTCAGATGGCTATTTTCACCAGACCTGACAAGTCCCAAAAATTTGATGAGTTTTTATGCATGGCAAGTACCCCCAAAATGCTCCTAAAGTGTAAAAATCAAATTCATAATAATAATAATAATAATAACCCTTACAGTTTCAATAGGGCCTTTGCCGGCCCGACGTTGTCGGTTGCTCGGGCCCTAATAAAACATTAGTTGTATTTACGTGATGTTCTCCAGGACAAGAAGGCTGCCCAGGAGAAGGAGAGAGAGAGCCGGATAGCAGAGGCCGAGGTACAAAACCTGCAGGGTGTGAGGCACCAGGAGGGTTTAAAGCTGGCTCAGAAACTCGCACAGCAACAGCTTCAGATCAAGGAGATCTCCTCTGATGGCCACTGCATGTATCGTGCCATTGAAGATCAGCTGGCACAGCGTTCAGAGGTACGTCATCTTGTTACAGGAATATTGTAGCTGTACTTTGAATACCTAATCTCAATGTGAAAAGCAAAAGTGCTGTCTACATTTCTTGCCTCTGCACTGTCTGTTGTTGCTTCAATTGCAAATAGCACAATGTTGCTCTGACAGACTTTCAACAACTTTCAAAGTTCATACATATATTATTAGCAAAGTCCATACACTGAGTACATATTGTCTTCTGTTTTATTCCAGCCTGGGTCAATCACGAGTGTGAAAGACCTGCGGTCCAGCACCGCTGAGCGCATGAGAGGCCATGCTGACGACTTCCTCCCTTTCCTCACCAACACCAACACTGGTGACATGTACACAACAGGTAACACTTTGATCTTTGTTTTAGTTTTCAGAAACAATCAGTCATAGAAATTCCATGATATGAAACAGTGAGTTTTAATATGTACAGTATGCACAATATGCACAGTAATCTTGCTAGTGTTTGTGTGTGTTTTGGTTTCCAGATGAGTTTGAGAAATACTGCAGTGACGTGGAGCACACGGCAGCTTGGGGTGGACAACTGGAAGTGAGTTGTTGGAGTTTGTCACAGATGCACTGTGCGGTTACTCTTTGTGCTTTTCAATCTTTTTTTTTTTTTTTTAACATGTCTTTTCCCCCCCAACAGTTGCGAGCTTTGACCCAAGTTCTTCACTTGCCAGTGGCAGTGATCCAGGCCGACTCCGCAACTATAAAAATTGGGGAGGAATTTGATAGTAAACCCATCACCCTTGTGTACGTTGTATACATGTTGTTATGTTTGTCAGGACTCAGATTTCATTAGCATAATTGTTAAAAAATATATATAGTTAAATTAGTAGGAACATGTATTATAATATATGAAGCTGAAAACATTACATGTACTGACTGTACTTGTTCATGTAGGACGTTAACATGACAGTTTTGGACCCTCATATTAAGGCGTTGATGATCAGGCAGCACACTAAAGCAGCTGTAGACAGACAAACTTTATAACTTTAATATATGCATTAACTTCATTAAATGTCACATTCTGATAAAACCTTTCAGAATTTTGAAAGGTTTATCTCAGACCTCTTGACTCACAGAATATATTTTCTCATTGTTTGCAGCTATATGCGTCATGCCTATGGACTAGGAGAGCACTACAATTCTGTGGAGGTGCTGAAGGACCCAGCCAATGCAGAGGACAGCTGAGAGACAGCTCAGTCTTGGTGTGATATTAATCAATGTGTGTAATGCAGAGTGTGTTCACACCACTAAGGGTCCCTAAATACAAATGTATTTGGAGGGAGACCCCCCCCCCCCCCTCCCCACCATTGAAGACAAGCTGAGGTTAACAGAGAATATTGCTGTTTTCAGGGTGGCTTCAACACACAATGGTCAAAAGATATCAGTGGGGAGTGTAAAATCTAGTTCTGAAAACGCTATCATTGTGCTAATAAAATGTAGCATAAGTAACGTGTTATTGATTTGACACTGGACGGCCTTGGTCCTAATGACCTCCGGAGTTCACTTTAGTCAATTTTGGGAAGCAATGGTGTACAGCCTACCTATCGCATCAGGTGGCACTACTTTAATGAGGGGTTGTTGAACTTCTGCAATGTTTTCGGAATGAACTGAATTGTGGAACTTGTAAATCATATCAATGTTACATAAACATATACAATACTAATAAGGTATGTCACTGCTGTATTTTTGGGGGCATGGTATAACCAGATTTTGAAAGAATACCGTTTTCAGTATTAGACTGTGAAAGCTGGCTATTCTGTTCCTTTAACTTAAGGTGATCATACGGCATGCAGGCATATGCACATCTATTCATTCATGTTTAGCAACAATTATCTGTACAAAAAGATAAACACTTACCTACACACTACTGTATCAATTCTTTATTTCTACATGGATAGGACATTTTGACCACAAATGGTCTCTCAGGCCAATTCAAGTTGTCAGTTTAATAAAATAGTTGGTAATGTCTGCCTAATGTAAAAACGAAAATATCTACAATGAAACACTCATTACCTCGCATTTCATCATTGAATACTGTTGGAACATACCAGTGGTGGAAAGTAAATACGTACATTTACTTTATTACTACAAGTTACTACAAGTATTTATATTTCTTATTCATTATTATAATTATATCTATTTAAATATAAATTATTTGTTTGACAAATATAATTGCTAGTTACTATTTAGTTTAAAGTTTCACATTCAAAACATGTTAAATTAAAAAAATATTCTAATGTATGAAAAACCGATGCACCACACTGCCGTAATTTACTGGATTCAGAAAAAATAAATCTAGTTTGACGAAGTGTTCGATGAAGTCATGTGGTTTATGTATCTTTGGCAAATCAAGAAAAGATACCGTGGCTCCTGCAAAACGAAAACAAACGAAGGCCCTCTGAGGTGCATGCTGGACCTATACCTGCACATAAACCCGAAGTGCCTGTAGTGCTTCCCAATTCTTACAAACAAGAGGAAAAACAGAAGAAATCAATCTAATAAATACCAAACTCTCAAATAATAATTTAACAGTAAATCAAGTATTTCAGACTAGCTTTCAGTGCTTGTATTTGTAATGTAGTTGTATATTGAGGTATTTCTACATCTACTTAAGTAAAGAGTCTAAGTAGTTCCTTGTACTGGATAATGCTGTACAGTGAGAATTGTACATTAGTATCATCAACAAACTGAAGCGCGCGGTAACACCCTGCTCTGCTCAGCGGTCACCACTAGAGGCCGCTATCTCCTCAAAGTCTATCTTCATCGACGTGTCGAGAAGCGTCTTGTCGCCATGATGAGAGCTTTATATGGCAAAGCAACGTCTTTAACTTTGAGTTCCAAACAAAATAAAGGTCGTTCCCACGTGTGTTTCCAGAATAACAAACCTGTTGAACAACAACTCTGTCAGCACCCTGCCTGCGGAGCTGCTCTCTCTACAACACGTGAGTCTTCCCCCGTTTGTTTGCTCCAAGCTCATCTGTTTGCTGGAAATGTTCCAAAAAAACTCTTTAAGTGTTTTACACACCGCGCAGATTTGTGATTAAATGCTTTTCTTTTTGCAAAGCCTGCAAGCTAGCTGAGCTGAATGTGGGAAATAATGCCTTGAATGAGGTTCCTGCTGTTTTGGGCCATCTGGAATCATTGAAGAAACTGTATCTGTTCAGCAACCAAATTATAGCCGTGCCACCTGATGCGATAGGTAGGTTCTCTCTGTTCTGAATGATTAGCACCTCGGAAGATTTGTTTAAAAGAACAAAGCTTAAGTATTGTCATATTTATATTTTACAGATGGTTTACGAAACCTTGTTGTGCTCAATCTGAACCACAACCAGATTCAAAGACTTCCACCAGAGATTAAAAGGTATAGGCCACATTTATGGCACCATGCTATCCAAGAACTACATACCTGCAATAGTAGGTTCTAAAGACCACTACCGCCATGTTCCGACTGTTACATTCACTCATGCAGCTGCATGAGTGATGCTGATGCTGGAGAATACAGTGTGATGAATCAGATCTCGCCTAACGTCTGCTGTGTGAATACAATGCTGTGAAGATTAGCCTACTTTAGAAATATAATGTTACAGATTACCAGTTACTGCAATAAGTAATGTAACTATTTGTAATTACTTCATCAACGTACTGATTACATTTGATGACTCTTTGATTACTTTTCTAAAGTAATGTCTTAAACTGGGTAATAAATAAAAAACTAAATAAAAACAGTGAGTGTATTATCAACAAACTGAAGCGCACACACACACACACACACTAACGTAACTCCATTACATACTAGTGTCTTCCCAACAATGCTTACATGTTAGGCTAAATTTAATTGATTGTTGACTTATAACTGACTTGTTTTAATCTCTATCCCAAGAAATGGTCAAATGAACGCCACAAAGGGTTTAAGAATATTGTGTTTCTGGGTTAAACAGAATTAAAGCAAACCTCTCTATAGCATTAGTTTGAGTAGGCTTCGACGTCTGAGTGTGCTGGACAATAAGCTGGAGGAGGTCCCTGTTGAGTTGGCTCATCTCACCGGGTTGACTGAGATAAACTTAATAATTTGTCCTGGCTCCCTCAGCAGCTGTACCAGTGTAAAGACCTAACCAAGCTGCATGTAGCCAGAAACAAGCTGACCAGCCCACCAGAGGTGGGTATTCGCTGGTGTGATGTTTACTTTTTTTACGGTACAATGCGTCACCTACATAACCAAAACACCTACCGTATACATTTCACTCAGGGAATTGGGGCATTGGCAAAACTCCAAGTCCTGGAGGTGGCTGGAAACAAGTTGTCCATGTTCCCTGTTGAGGTACAGTATACAGTATGAGCTAATTCAGCACTGTGAACCACTGACTGTGAGCCGATGTCATCAGTGCAGGATGCGGAAGTGCTTACGTTAAAGGTAAAGTGTCACAGAAGTACAGACAGAACACTCAGAATATGTATTACTCTTCTGTGTAAGATACCTCCCAATATGTCTTTGTGTTTATTCAGTAACATTGTATTGGTGTAATTGCTTCACCTCTTGTCTTGTGGGAGGACAGGTACCGGTCCTCTCTGTTCCACATGATGCTTCGCCACTACCCAACCCTGACTGCCCTGTTGGCCAATGGCAGCTGTTGTGCGCTCTGTCTGGACCCCTTTCTCCCCACCTGGCTGGAGTGTGTGCATTTTATCAGCCTGAAGAAGGTTGGTTGAATATGTTTGTCCTACGATCATTGCTTTAGGGGATTGTGTAAAATGATGTTCATCAAAATATGATTCTCTAGCCCCTTGACATAGGAAGAATATAGTGGCTCATGTAATTAAATGTGCATTGTCTTTTTTTTTAAATGTGTGTTACAGGACATGAAAATGAGGAGTTTGCAGACTATTCCAGTGCTTGCATAAGTGCCTAAATATGGATGGACACTTCTATTATGGTGTTGCTACAAGATAAATACAAGTTAATTAAAAAAGGTACTGCTCATGATCTCAATCACTGTCCTATCTCATTGTTTTTAAACTAAAACTGTGGACACAGATCTATCAATACACATATTTAACAACAGCATATTTAACAACACCTGGCAGCATTTAGATGTGTTCAGGTATGTTAATATGGTGCTATGATTTCCAGTATATGAGGTTTTTTCATCTCACAGATGCCATTTGACTCTGCAGTCACTAGGTGGCATCCAATGAACATTGAAAACGGGTTGAATCCTGCTTTAATACTTCATATAGGCTTCAATTGACAGCAGGTAGAATATATATCTTTGCTGTGTGCCAACCATACAACTTTCATACAATCCCAATAATTGAATTAACACTGCAACAGCTGGAGACCAGTTCTGTGCACGGTGACTGCGTTTACTAATGCATACTACACTTAGATTAAAACCTTTGTACGTGAATACCTGGATATACGAATATACAACATATTCAACATGCAGGCTACATTAAGGCTCAAACATTACAATTAAATTTCATATTAAAATATTGCGTTTTACCGACAGGTGTCTCTCTGTGTAATGCAATACAGCTTTTACAGCCCCATGAAGTACATCCTCCAAAATGATCATAAAGTTGAATCAACTCCTCTCTGAAACTGTTTTAACAAAAACTAAACACTATGAACTACAGAGGATGTATTGCTGGACGGTTTTTAGTAGACTGCATTAGTTGTAGGTGCACCTAATTAACTGGTGTGAGAGTTTAAAACCAGTAAAGTCATACATTGGTGACAAAATTCTAGTAATACCTGGATCAAGATTTCACCAGCATATATCACTTATACTCATATTATGTCTATGTAAATCTAGTGAGATCCTATTCCCTTGTCAGGGTTGATCAAGCTGTACCGAGACTCCATAGCTGTCCCATCTCTATCTCCATCTCCAGCCAGTGGCATCTGTTCCAACCTGCCAGACAAGAGAGAGATAGGAAGGGAGGGAGAGCGAGAGAGAGAGAACTTCATTTCTAGCAAATTAATTTCCCATCCACGCCTCCAGAGCTTGCTAGCTCGTTCAATCGCTGCTGCGGCCGCTGCTGCGTGTGTCTACTGAGTCGGAGCCTCATGCATAAGGCATCAGGTTTAATTGCAAACCCAGAAACTAATGACTTTGGACTGGTTAACAGCAGGGGAGCCATACATCTCGCGCAAACTGAATGAAAAATCAGCTCGGAGGAGAGAAAAAAAGAAGCCTAGCCCCTAATTGATGAATAATTGAAGCGGCGAGCTACAGGGCATAATTGTGACATTTTGTTTCAATCAATTTCCAAGTGGTGTGGGCGAAAGTGCACTTAAAGGGAAAAGTCAATGACAACGAGGAAAGAAAGAGAGCGATAGAGAGAGCAGTTGGAGATGGAAATGGACATTAGGTCTTCAGTCATTACAGTGACATTTTCTGGGGCAAAAGACCACTCATTCAAAAACAAAAATTACTCATCTCTCCGTCTCCATCTCACTTTGTAGGCTTTTTGTCAAACTCCTGTTATGCCACTGTTTCATCACCTTTTCACTGCCAGACAATTAATCCATATCCTTTTAAAATCATCTCTTTTGTTCATTTTTCCACTTACCTTATTCATTTAAAAAAAAAAGAAGTCAATTTCAACGCTAGTTTCCATTTAAGGCACAGAAAAACTAAAGTGAGGCTGGCATCTGTTTCAGTGGATGCATTTGTGTTTGAATTTCCAGTCAGCTTAGTTAGTTTACTGTCAATAAGAGTATGAGGGCATTGGGCCAAGTCAGCCAGTGTGTTGGAGCTAAACACCGCACCAGTTTGTCTTGGCCTTGATGGCGTAGAGTGGACAAAGCCTCGAGGTCAGTCGGGCAGACAAAGAGAAGCAGTCAGAGCCACTGGGGCACTGGATATCTGACCCAATGCACTTGCCCTAGATAGGATGGAATTTGGTTTACTTTTCAATAACTGGCAATGTTAATACATATATTTGAAATATGCAGCACATCAATGGTGCGCCCAAAAACAGAAATCATGTTCTTATTGACATTGTCATTATAACAACATTCAATGTTTGAAAATTCAGGAATCAGGAACGAGTCTCAACAGAGTAAATGATCGAGATGCATCTCAAGATACTTAAGGAATAGTAAGGCATTTTGGAAAATACCTTTATTTCTTTTCTTGCAGAGTTGGATGAGAATATTGGAACCGCTCATGTATGTATAGTAAGGATTAAGCTACTTTAGAGTTGCTACTAGCGCCCTAATGCTACTGCAGCTTTTGTACAGATTGCAGAAACAAGATAATGTGTCTATTAGTGAACTTTAGAGGTGCTGCTAGGTGTGTGTTGTTACCACCACCAGCCCTGGCCAGGCTAGCTGTTTCTCCATTTCCAGTCTTTGTGCTCTCGTGTGTATCTCTTGACAAGAAAGCGCTCAAGTGTATTTCCCAAAATGTTATTTTATTAATTTTATGAAACTTGCATTCAACATTCTTCTATTACACTTTCCCTGAATAATCACACTGGGTGCCATCATATTGCCAATTAAGTCTAACTCTGGTTTGCACTTCACAGGGATATTTTGCCTGGTTACATCACTACCGACTTTGCTCCCCTGCCTCCGGCATTGGAAGAGAGCTGTATGTTCACACATCTACATTCAAACTTTTTTTAAAGACTTAATTATCAAGACTAAGACTACACAGACACCGTTTTGTTCTGGGGGAAAATTTGACAATAAATTAAATATAATTTGACTAAATATTCACTAGATTTACATAATGACCTCACAAATTCAAATTGTTTTCAGGGGTGTACATGAACATGCCTGATAAATAGGTCACTCCGTTCCGCTGGAACCATACTAATGGGCGAAAGGCTGACATTACGTGCCTTCTCGAAGGCAGCAGATGTTGAAGCCTAAAGCAGTGGAGGTGGCTCGGTGGCCTCGGGACTTAGTCTGTTAAGTCGGTCTGGTGTCTGGTGTCAAGCTTTACGCATGTATGTACACATACACACACAGCCCTCTTTAACCCACTGCAGAAAAATCAAATACAAGTCACTCCACCCACTCTGCATTGATGGCACGTCATCAAGATAATTCTGCCCCCATCGCTTTGTTTTCATCTCGTCGCTTCACAAAACACATAGTCGCACCCCCACATGTGCGCAGACACACTTTTTCCATCACTGAGCTGTCCCTTATGATTGCCATATTCAGAGTGCCCTGTGTTTTCCTACGGAATATTTCTGGAAAACCACGCACAGCTTGATTGACGTCTATGGAAATGAGGAGGTTGCATCCTCAAAGGAGACACCATACGGATGGGAGCAGCACACTGACGAGAGGCATCTACAAAAGGCGCTTGTAAATTCCTGACATGCCGAGCGTATGTTAATGAGCCATTCTCTCGCTCTGATATAATTACTGCGAGGGGATATTGCCTTTGGTGGAAATATCTGTCTCGCATTGGCATGGCTACCTCATGGGGGTGAAAAAAGTAAAGAATGACAAAGTAGTGGGTGCATAAATTCTCATTTACCATGCTTGGAGGTAAAGAGAGTGATGTTGGCAAATTCACTCAGGATGATGTATTGGGGGAGAAGACACCATGGGTTCATTACATACCTCCTTTGTTAAAGCGCTTTCTGCAGTCTTGTATCGTTTGTTAGAGGGTATTTAGTCTGCCTTGTCATCTAGACCACTTACTTAGGATGTCTTCAGAGGAGCCTATGGCTGTTTGAGCTTCTTCGAGCTAAAAAGGCATGTGATATTTTAGCTCACAGCAAAACATAGGATGCTGCAAGATCATAGGGTGCTGGATGGAAGCTTTTATTGTAATGGGTATGATGAAAATGTGTGTTTGCTGCTGAAGGTCATATGCAGCCTCGGCTCTGCACTTATGACTGTTACTTTGATTTTAATATTGTGCTCCGTATCATCAAGTCTCAGTACTACGTGTTAAGGCTTAATATATCATTTGAACGGTTATCATGTGTGAATTACTTTTACAGTAATACACTTAAACAAGTTTGTGCAACTGGTTCCAGTAACAAGCACAGCCCAGCATGACATTGCCACTCCAGCAAAGTCATGATTGCGGTCTTTCCCTCAGAAAAAAAAATTATTTGACACCGGCTCACCCTGATTTCTCCTCTTCTGTCCTTGGGGCAATGGCAGAGGTGCTATTAAAATGAGTAGCATTGATTGCTGAATTAGGGGGCTTGTGACTGAAGAGAGAGAAAAACAGCCATTCGATAGCGAGCGGTAGGCCAGTGTCATAGCCAGGAGTGCACACCACTCCAATCAGTGGAATCTATTGTCGTGCATCGCTGCCCATGACCGATCTTGGTATCGAGCCACTGGCAGAGTACCAGGGTATTGTCTGGCTGATGGCTGCACAATCAATACTGTTGTGTTACAAATGCCCGTGGGCACTAGGGGGCACTATGATTCTCTGCTTGCTCTCCTGCAGATAAGGAGAGAGATGCACTGAAGCACCGCAAACTGAGGTATGCCTGATGAATCAAAGAGATAGAGCAGCTAATAAAAAGCAAGAACAATGAGCGGTTATTGGAATTGGAAAGCTTAATTGAAGTCTCAGCATCAGATCAGAGCATCGTAACTCATGTGTGACCGTTAAATCTAAAAAAAGTGCAACCAAATGTGAGAAAAGGTGGAAATTTGCTGGCACTCATTAATGCATATCAACAGAAAAATAGATGACAAAGACACCAGATGTATAAGA